GAACGCCTTCCGGTGGTGGCCGGGGACAAATGAAGGTTGATTGTGTTTGTCGGCATGGGGACCAGTGAGCGAGAGGGCCTAGACAAAGTAAGAGGGGAACAATTGCGGGTATGCTATCAAACCGGGTATTCCAGCGCCGTACCATCACTGCACTGAAGTACTTCGGTTTCTGGACAGCTCCGTGATGGACGTCGTGATTTAGGTTGTTAGGCTGAGATGTGCAATCTTGTTGTTTTCCCTTTTATTTTTCAGGTCGGGATACCTTCCTTCGGGACGCACAAATCGGGTGGAGTTGACAACGGCCAAACAGATAGTCCATAGCGCGCATTACCCCGGGTCGAATCTTGGGGAGAAGATGAAATGAGATGAGGTCAATGAGGTCTGGAGAGTTATAGGGGTTATCAGACAGGATATAGTCCTTTAATAGGGGAAAAATGAACGTCTACCACAGTTATGGAAGGACATCAGGTGATTAACACGACAGGATAAGGATGATTCTGTATTCAGTAGTGTAGTCATCAGAGTCAAGCTAAGATTGCCAGTATAACTATACGACCTGAGACAGGACAGTTTACTGCATGTGGGCTAAGAGGCGGTGTGGTGAGAGTAAGCTAAACTCGTAACGACCGGGGGGTGTAAATTCCTGGAGGGTGTTAGTGAGATGGACGATACTAGGACGATCTAGGAAGAAAGGTGAATGCGAGGGAGAAGGTCACCATTCCCCGAAGCACTACTATCAGCTTTAATCAGTGAGTGGTGCGTGACGAAGAAGACTTCCGATGCTATCCTCGGATGTTGATAGTGGAGAGTCGGGAGTCTAACTGTATGCTTATATGTGTTGTATGTGTCCACTCCTGGAAGCAGCAAATTTGGTGTGTCTTCTTGTTTGGTTGACGGGGTAGGTTTTGGTGAGATGTAGCCTCGATATTGACGAAGTCAGCTACATCTATGCACGTTGACGTAGGCCACGGGCATCGCAAAGTTTCTTCCGGCTATCCCAGGTATATTGATTTCTTATCGAATACTTTTGGACGGGCGAAAGGCCCGTTTTTGTTATTGTTTATGGCGTTGCCGAAGAGCTCAACAGAGGCGAGGCCAACACCAACAGCAACAATCAGAAGACAATCAGAAAAATGTGAGCGAGATTCACATTTATATTGGCTGCCACGGCTCAGTGTGATTTGGCTGTGAAGGTGGTTTACGATTTTGCAGAGAAGTTGGCTTGTCCTCCTTTCCTTCACTGTATTCAACAGTCCCTTGAAAGTGTAGGAGAGCAATAATCCTCAGTTTTCTCGCATGAACTCAAAAACGAGCAGCAACAAGCGGCTTTTGTATGAAAGGCTTTATACTGCTGCAGCAGGCGTCCCCAGTAGACCAATCCAAGATCGCCAAATTCGTTGCAGCTTGTAAGTGTACCGTAATTTGTTCAGGGCCAATGGCACATGTCGTGTTTGGTGCTCGCCAGGGACGTATGTTTGCAAGCTTAATGACTCGTCGATTGTTACTTTCTGGCGTCCGACGATTAACGAGTTAAAGAAGCGCAGTTCACTTATGAAGTACGGAACTCCGTTTTCGAGTGTTTTGCAACACGTCGTAATCAGTGTGGGAGGTTGCTGACTATCCAGGATGGTTATAACTATCACGACAACTGCCAACCCCAAGGATTAGGTAGGTCGATGCTTACGCTTTTGATTTTAGGTAACATGTCACCAGCGTTAGCAAAATCCGAGAATGTGGCTTTGTTCTCTCGGTAGAATCTAACATTCTTGATTTCAGCTACCCATGTTTTCCCGCATGTACCTCTATTTTTGACGTTTACCGGGCGTCGCAAACGTTGATGCTGCACAAGTGACAAATCATCTTTCATCGTGTAGGTACACATTTTGTGCATCGCCTGTGACGGATAGCATGGGATCGGACAACAAGTCGTGTTTGTATTCGTCGAAAAAGAAGCTTTTGGCTTTTTTGCGCAAGCTTTTTAGCTTGATTTAAGGATATGAGGGTTGGCAGTAATCCGCCAAGACGCTTGTCATAGACGATATGATGCCGCAGATGTGAGCCGCCGGAGCCGTCCCTGCTTGCGACATAATGCCACGCTATTTTCACGCACGGTAAACTCTCCTGAAGCATGTAAGTTTTACTACGTAGTTGTGGCATTTTAAGATAACCTTTAACTGCAGCCGACACATGTACCAATCCACTTACCACTGTGATCTTGCGGCTGATTAAGTGATCATGTGCCGGACATTGATCACGTAGGCGTCGGCACAAATTACGAATTCCGTGTAAAATTGACTCCAACTTTCTCAACTATTTGAATGCTTAGTGGTTGTACGTCACCTAAAAATTGGCAGTTCGTACGCAGTGCAGGTTTATACATTCAGGAACTGACGAACAACCGTCTTGGGACCGCGAATGCCCGTTTAGAGAGACAAAAACGTCACGCCGATTGCGCGGAACATGCTCAAGGTGTCTTTAGCTCAGCAAGTGGCACATGCGTGGGTATGGGATGCACATCGCCCATCAAGTTGACCCTCCGGAAATTAGCTTGAGAGACAGATACGTTTTTTAGTGGTTTCCTGAGTGACGACAAATGCGGCCAATCAAATTTTCAAGCACATTGGCACCTGCACGTCAGATCCGATGTTCTATTAGGCATATAGCCCTAGGGTGATGTACCCGTTGTTAGAAACAGTGAGTTTTTGGCAAAAACCTCAAAATGTTTCCAAACGGATAACACATCAACTGGTGCCTTCACGTTCATCTTTAATCGGTCCATACTGCTACTCCGCGTATGCATGCCTTTGGTGTTCGGTGGCCGTTTGTTCTCAAGCAGTAAGTTAAGAGGTCAAATATGCATTGCGCAGGTCACTTTGAATAATCTTATCCACAGAGCTTTTGAAGAAACAAACATTCATTGGCCAAAGTGAGCTGACGGTGGCCAATCCTTTGTGGTGCATCCGAAATTCCTCTGGAACCATTATTTTACCGAAAGGAGCTTTTCCATATATTTTTGGCATTTAGTGGTATTGAGTTGACACCTTAAAATCTCTTCACAGGGTCGCAGTTTTGCCGAAATTCAGGCGTACTGAAAGCCTGTTTTGGGCACAAACTTCATATTTTCGATTGCTGTAATGAATTGGCACGATTCTCCGTAAAGTTGGTGCATAATCCTGTTTACAGTTTGCTGCTTCAGCTGTTTTTTTTCTGCAGTTAATTCAGAAATAGTTTGAAATAGTGTATAAACAAGAATTACAACTTTTGTCTGTGCAAGCTGGAAAGGGAGCAACCGTCCGCGATCTTTAAATAAAAACTCTCTCTATGGTGATTCCGAGGAATTCGCCGTGGTTCTTAAGTTCGATGGATTTATATACGATAGTCATCTCACGTTGTACCGGGTGCGCGACGGAGTTTTATCGTCGCCGGTGTACCGAATCCCTAATGGCATTATGGGAAGAATTAGCAGGTATAAGAGCAGCACGGGCGAACATTAGGTTGGGGTGGCTTGTGGTTTTCATTTCTGGTTCCAATCCAGCGGATTAAGTCGGTCTTTTGGGCACATATTACATGCTCAGTCTGTAACGTAGACTTTCATTGAGGTGTTAAGCACCAGAAGCCAAGATGTTTAAGCGATCTATTGCGTAAACCAAACCATATTTTGCTAAGTAATGTTTTTTTGTTCTGTTATCATTGTCCCAATAGTAGCTGTTAGCTTATTTGCCTCCTCCGCGAGCTGCCTTTTTCGGCGGAAGTTTGCCATGAGAAACGACTGAGTTGTTTTACCGGCCTGACTTCCTCCGACGGGATAAAATATCTGGTAGCTGGAGCGCTTCTTATTATTATTGCAAGGATCACAATGTCGACTGAAATGTAGTACAGTACCTTGCAGATCTGGTAGCATGGGTCAAGAATGAAAACTTCGTGTGACGGCTGGTACGTCCTGCAGGGAAGATCGACCCGTTGCGTTTTACCATCGGGTGTTCGTACCCCTTCCACCCCTTCAGTAGTATGGGTGCTTCGCCCATCGCCAGCGGTTCTGAGCATGGCCTTTAATTTAGGTAATCAACAAAAGGTCACTATTGTTCCCTGCTTGTTGCTGTACCGGACTTATCGTGGCTGTCTTTTAACTGGCAAAGCTATAAACGACGGACGGTAGAGAAAAGAAAAAACTGGCCTTCTGTCCTTTAAAAAGTTTACAAAAAACAGATGGGATAGCTTAAATACTCGGTGATGACCACGGCCTAAATCGACTTGCGGAGATAGAACTGGCCCCCGTCATGATTGGCGTGGCAACTTACTGAAGCCTACTTCGTCAGTCAATCAAAACACACGCATCTACATACTCTCCCAGTAGTGGGCACATCCAAAGATATATATACATGAGGTTGTTTACCTTACGTTGCCGGTGCGCAAGGCTTGTGCTCTAAGGCTCGTACCACTTATTAACTTAGGGCTAATAGCGGCGCATCAGGTACTGGTGACTATTTCAATTACACTCACTTTCTTTAGTGGCTCACGACACGCAATAAATTCCAGATGAGCTTGTTCCTCATTATACTTTTGATTTTCCAGCCTTTGCGTGCATATATCGACTTGCTTTGGATCTCTTGTAACTTAATGTCACACATCAACGAACTCAACATCTGCTCGACCTCCAGTCTACTAAGTACAAATCCATCTCTACCCTGTCTCATTTAATCACTTGTTGTCACCACCCTAATAATGGTATTGGTTAGGTCTTTTCTGTCTCTTTCAGTGCACATTATTTTGTCTGAGCTCTTCTCAAACACACTGGACTTTAAAAATCTTACCCCATTCCCTCGTTTATTCAAGCTTTGAACTTCAACAATACCTGGTTTGAACGTTTTGTTTGGCCGTTATCCACGCCAAATATCCTGTGATTTATATACGCAAGGATCTTCAACCGGAATAAAAAACCTGCGATCTTATATTGGCTCAATTCCACATTTGTTCCCTTGGCCGCCCTGGAAACTCCCGCTGCTCAAAAAATTGCAAATCTCAGCCCAATGATTTTGAATAGGACGACCGTTTGGCAGCTGTCCAAAAATCGGAGTATGTCGGGTCAATCATGGCCTGCATCATCACATTAAGTTCGACACCACACCCGAAAATATACCCTTCCTACTCTCGCCGTACCCTCTTGTTTACTCGTTCCATTAAATGCGAACAGGCTCTTCACCCAGCTCCAGCCGTAAATGTTCATCCAAGCCTGCTTAA